ACTTACTTATTCCTGTAAGTATAAGCAAGAGATCCAACCATGCATAAAGCCCAACTTCCACATACAATACTATATCGATTTTCACTTATGAACTCTTTAATTATCTGAGTAGTTGAAAGTGTTGGATGTGAATCTTTGATAGGCTGATAATAACCATATTTTTTTTTCTCATAATTCAAACCAGCTCTTTCTGCACTAATAATACAGGCTGCAGTTGCTCCTGCAAAATAAATAAACGTGAATTTCAAAAAAAAACCCCCTGGGGCGAAATAAAGATAATTGATATAAGTACCGTACCAGAAGAAACCAAAAAGGCTTTGAGTGGTAACGTTAATTTTTGATAAAAATGAGAGTAACGTTGAGCAACAAGAGAAAATCCCAATGAAACACCCAGACCGACCATAACACCTTTTAAACCACCTTTAAGTGTGACGCGATTATGTTCTGTTGACGTAAAAAGGTTAAAAGTTACGTTACTTTAATCGATAAATGAATATTAACGTAATATTTCGAATTACCATCCTCTTCTTCCTTAGTAAGAATTTTCATACTGTTCTTCTTTCTTGGTCGTTAAAGTCTACCGCTACGCGATTCAGGACATCCTATATACAGTCTGATCTTGATACAATTGCAGAATTATTAAGCAGGATTTTTGCGTAACATAAGGTAAGGTAGGGTATTATGACGTAGGTGGGTATTATGATACACTGAACAGAATCGAGTAATTTTAATATCATTCGATTCCTCTTGCTGAGATGAATCGAATGATATTGGGCTCAAATTTGACCCGATGTAGATCTGATGTGATTAGTTAGCGTTAGTACACCATTTTTTTAATTAGTCAGAAATTTGAATAAGAAATCATTTCAAAGAAAAATTCATCGATAAAAACTACCTTTTTTTAAAAAAAATTTACCATTGATAAAGGTCACTCAAGCACTACTTGACATTTACATATCAACATAATTATATTTGGTGGTAAAAAAAATAAAAAACGGTCAAACACGAAAAATAGATGCAAATATTCTTCGAACACGACCTAGTGAAGCATCTACTTTCAACTGCTCCTATTATCCTTGTCATCAGTTAAATATGAGGAAAATGTCAACTCAGAATCCACAGTTTTGGGTCCTCGTTTATGTTAGTTTTTGAACGTAATGAAGAAATTACTGACTGAATGGTTGAAGTTATATGATTAAAGACTAAGAGATAGTTTCTGCAATTGTTTTTTAAGCTTCACAATATTTTTAATTTTTCATAAATTTTTTAATACAAATAATAAAACAATTTTTTATACCAAGAACAAAGATCCATGGCAAAGTTACCGGTACTTGAGCAATTTTTATAAAACACTATTGATAGTAAAAATTTCGAAGTCAGGTATAAAAAAAAAGGTATGTTGATAGTTGATAAGATTCTTAATAATCAATTTAATAAATACTGAATTCTTACCAATTTCTAACCAATCCAAAAAAAACTAAGAACACTC